CGCTCTTCCTCCATGTCCCTCTGCTGCTGCGACAGCCTGTCCTGGAGCACTGAGGGGAGCGAAGGGCTGGGCCATGAACAGCAGGGACCTGCAGGCTGGTGCAAGCTGCGGGGCATCCATCCCACCCCACCGCACATACACAATGAATCACTGCCACCCTCTCTAGCATCCTCTGTAACACCAAGGGGGGAACCCCTCTGTCCATAGCATGTTCATGGAAAAATCTGTGTGCTTTTGCATTCATCACCTGCTGCACATCCCTGGGAGCACTGTTTTGTAAGGGGGAGACCCCAAGATGGCTCATGACTGCAGCTAGCAGTCAGGGCCTAGCCAACCCGGGCACCGTAGCCGACCCGCCATGGGGGCCCCATCCCTAATGTGGGTGCCTCTCCCTACCCCAGGCGTCCTCAGGACCCTGTGGCTGTTTTGGTGCCAGGAAGGGCAGACCTACCCTTGAGTTGCTTGTCACGCTGCTGGGCCCCCATGGCCAGCTCCTGGGAGGTGGTGTGGTGCGTGGCCTCTACCCGGTGTGAGAGGTTGTGCAGGTCGCTAGAGAACTTCTCCATCTGCTCGATGACGCCATTCAGAGACCTGTGGAGAGGCCACCTATGGGGAACGTGCTTCATCTCGCTGCCCTGAGTCTTTCCCAGTTGCAACAAAGCAGAAACAAGACAAGGGGGGCACTGATGGGTTGGGTTTGGTTTGGTGCTGAGGGCATATTAGTCCTCAAACTGGGGACATCTGTGTGGGTTCCCTACCATCTCCTCAGCAAAAGCTGCGGATGCAAGGGGCAGCAAGTGGGTGGGAGAGACCCACCGCTCCTGCGGTTGGTTCCCCCGGGACAGGGGACACAGAGGCTGGGGCCCCAGGCAGGGAGACCACACGGGCCACTGGAACCTGGTGTGCGAAGTGGCGCTGGTCACTGCGTCAATCTCCTGGTCTTTCAGCCGCTTCAGCCGCTGGAGCTGCTCTTCGTGGTCTTTGCGCATCTCCTGGACAGATGTCCTGCGGGACCCAGGGAAAGTTTGTTTCATCTTTCCTTTCCCAGGGCCCCCGAACTTTTGCCTTGGTCCTTTGCTGGGATGGGCCCCACACAGGTGCTGCCTTGTGCCATGCTCACCTCTGCAGCTCCTGCAGGAGCTGCAGCTCCCCTGTGCTCTGCTGCTCCAGCGCCGTCAGCTGCTGCTGGTGCCGCGCCAGCAGCTCTGCCCGCGCCTGCTCCGCGGCCTGGCTCTGCCCGCCGCCCCCTCCCCCTGCCGCAGCCGCTCCTCCCGCTGCCTGTAGGTCTCCTCCACCACCTTCACCCGGCTCCTGCCCGGAGAGAGCCCACAAAGGGTCACAGCAAGCGACAAGAGCTGCTTTCATAGCGATACCCAGTGCTCCCCACACAAGGGGCACCAAGGGCTTTAGCGTGCAGATGGGTGCTGTTGTGTGTCTGGGGAAACTGAGGCATGGGGCGATTTGCTCTCTGTGGTCTGAGCCCTGATTTCTCCCACTACCACCCAGGAGGTGCCCTGGTTTAAAGCTTGCTGGCAATAGGACTGGTCTCTCCTCCCTGCCACCCGTGGGACAGCGTGGGTGACCCCCCACTGCAGCTCACCCGTGGGGCTGCTCTCCACCCCACCAGCATCAGCACTAATGTGGCTACGTGCCTGCCTGCCCCAGGGATGGATTTGGGGAGCTCCCCAGGCCTCCTACCCCAGGGAGCACTGGCAGGCCAGTAGGCGAGGACATGGCAGAGAAGGGGAGACGGCCCCATACCTGTGCGCACTCTCAAGGAGATCCAAGTCTTCCTGGTGTCGCTGCTGGAGACTCTCCAGCAACAGTTTCTGCTGCATCCGCTCCAGCTCTAGCGTCCGGACCTGTGGGGCACCCACGGGAGAAGGTCCTTGTGCCATCCTGGGGAGATGTGTCCCCCCATCCAGCCTGGCCTGGGGACAGAGCTCCCAAAGCAGGACTTGGTAGCCTCAGGCACCTCTGCCCAGGGAGGTTTCTCCCCTCTCCCCAGCCATCCCAATGGTGTTTGGAGCAGACATGGCTCCTCTCTTCCCCGTGGGTCCCCTGTCCAGATCCCCGCGACAGGGTCACCTGGCTCTCCAGCTCCGCCATGCGGGCCTGGGCACTGAGCAGTGCTGCCTGACAGCCTGTCCTGTCTTCAGAGAGCTGGGCTATGGGAGCCCCTGGCCCCTTTGTGTGCAGCAAGTCCAGGGCCAGCGGCTCGGCCTGCGGGGTGGAGAGAGAAGACGGAGGCCTTTAGGACCAGCAGCTTTACAGCATGGCCAGCAGACCCCATGGAAACACACGTCCCTCACCTGTGGCTGTGGTGCTGCCGAGAGATGCATCCTGGGGACGACAGCCTGAGGAGGTGCAAGGATACTCTCAGACCTTGGGCTGAGCCTAGCTCTGCAAGAAGTCTCCTTCTAACTGGGGAACGGCCATCCATTCCAAGCTGCTGTGGTCCTTCTTCTCCTGCCCTTCTCCAGCCCAGCCCCACTGCTGAGCCAGGTCCCTTCTACCCTAGTGATGCCCCAGGAGGCCCTACCACAGGCATGCTGAGCTCTTCCTTACTGGGGACAGGTGCAAGGATAAGACCATGAATCCTTTGGGACATCATGTGCACCCTGCCACAGGGGCAGAGTGAGGAGGCCCACCTTGGCTAGAAACAGAGGCTTCAAGGACCAAGTATGAGCTGCCCTCTCTTTCAAAGGCTTTGATTCCCCTTCAATTCCCTAGAAACAACCTTAGAGGATCTTCACCCCAATATCAGGGAAAACGAGCAGAAAGAAAAGTCCTTCCTCAACTGGAGCCTCTGTTTCCTTATTAATATAATATACAAATATGCCTAGGGCATTATGTAAATGCTGCTCAGGTGATGCTCGTGATCACCTCCTTGGTCCTGCACCTCTTGTGGGGAGCACAGGCCCAACATACCCACCTGAGCAAGTGGGCCAGGGCCCGGTGTCTCCTGCTGTTCTGGGAATAAGGCTGTGGGAGCTGAAAATTCAACGTGTCCGTAATTCAGACATGGCAATGGGAACCAGGGAGGAGGCTGAATCCCCTAAGCCACTTCTAGGGGACGTTGAGCTGGTGCACGGGCTCAGCCAGGGCAGGGGTCCTGCCAGCACACGGCACTAATGGGATGAGTGTCTGGCCAGTGGAAGGCAACGAGGGGAGAAAAAGGACAGCAAGGATGGGAGCCCACTCCAGGCCACTTGTCGCTTGGAGAGGGCAAGTCTTTGCAGCCCTCTGGGACTGCAAAGGCTGCGCTGTGGGAGCTTGGAGCAGTGTTTCGGAGCTGCAGTGCACCCCTGGCACGCTATCTCCAAACACCACGAAATAGGGACAGCGGGATCCTGCAGCTCGGCAGCCTGCTCCATCAAAGGCCAGCCAGAGCCTGGGGTAGTCCTTGCATGGCCAAGGGCTGCCCTGTGGCTCCTGCTGGTTTCTTTGAGGAGAGCCTCACTGCCTATTGCTGCCTGGACCCATCTGCCCCATGAAACGCACCCAGGGCACTAGCAGCTCCTGCAGGATCCTCCTTTCTGGACTCCGGTGGGGGAGCTGGGGCTTGTTTCGGCACGCTGAGGTGGGGAACGGGGTACCTGTGTGGGGACAGGCATGCATGAACGATGTACGAGAGTGCCATGACACGGGGAGAGGCACAGGGATGTTTCCTTGCATGTGCCCGCAATCTCCTCAAGCTGGGCATTGCCGTAAGTTTAAAGCTTGGCTTTTCCATCATGGGCAGAAAGGGAAGAGCCACTCAAAAGCACCAGTGCTTCGAAGCTGCCTTCCCTCTCCGTTACGGAGGTGCCAAGCCAACGCGGTCACTGCTGGCTACCCACTCTCCCCGTTCCCTATCTCACCCACGTGGTTGCTTTCACAGGAAACCTCTCCCATGGAGAACATCCAAAACGCAAGGAAGGCCTTACCTGGAGCCGCCTACGCTCACTGCTGTGTCCTGCGGAGCGGCTGCCTGTGACGGTGCGCCTGCGAGGGCGGCTGGCTGGCTGCAAGAAAAGAACCTCGTATGTGGAAGAGCCATGGAGGTGATGAGCAACAAGGTCTTTTCCCCAACACCTGCTGCTCCTTGCAGGGCATCAGCCTCTGTCCCACTGAGCTGTGGCAGGATTTGCCCATTTGGCTGCAGATGGAGCAAAGACACCCCAAAGACACATGGGGTGTCTTTGCTTCATGCTGTGCATTCCTCCCTGCTGCAGCCCGCTGTTTCCCCCGGGCAGCGCCAGCCTCAGCTCACACACTCCCTGCCTGAAACACAAGTCTGGGATTGTGTCTTTTCATCCGCAAATTGCCTTTGAGTCCCAGCTGCATGGCACAAGCCTGACTCTGTGCATGTGTAAGCCCAGACTGGGAGGAGGTGGGTTGCCTGCGACTAAGAGAAATAAAGGGGAAGGTGAGGCAGGGACATGAAGGGCGGTGGGAGCCCCAGTGGAGGAGCTGATCTGAGGCAGCCGCATGGCTCCCCAGGCAGCGTGTGCAAGCTCTGCCGCAGCTGGGATGAAGGCCTGGAGGCGTGATGGACCCCCAGCTGAATCAGCCGGGACAAAGTCCCACATTCTTACCCCAATAGGAGACAAAACAGTGCTTAAAATTAGTTCCTTAAGTCGGAGTTCAGGTTTTCTGAGGGATCCTCAGCAGCCCTCTGCAGAGCAGACAGGAGCAGCCATCAACATGCCTTTACCTAGTGGCCAAGCGGGGATCCAGCCCTTCGCCCGGGGTCCCCGAGGGCTCAGCACCTCTCTCCTGCGCCTTCGCCTGCACTCGGGCTTTCTTGCGAGACAGGGCAGCGCTCAGCCAGCTGTCCTCGTCCGGCGGGTCGGGTTTGGCCGCGGGCTCCTCC